CTTCCGGCGAGTAGTTTATCTGCTCAGTTGCCGAGCTCAACTCGGTGAGGCCCTCCCCCCGTGAGGTTATGTCAGTTGCGCTGTCACGCTGAGTCACTATTTGAGCAAGGTCACGCCCTCGTGTACCCGTGCTGCGAGGTCGGGCCAAATCACCCTCCATTTGAATTGAAATATGAAGTAGCTACAAACACTCATTTACAAAACACTTTAACAAGGATAGAAGAAGGCACAAGCCTAACTATAGGTATTTTAATGGTTTGTTATGGAAGGTACTGAGTTCCACTTCATCATTTCAAAGAAATCTCTTTGATGAAGCTCACTCCAGCCCCGTTGGGGGCCATTTTGGTTATGGCAACACCATTTAGAGGCTGAGGCAAATTTGTTATTGTAAGGGCTATAAAAAGGAAGTCAAAGGGTGGGTTGGTGAGTGTGATGTTTGTCAAAAGGCAGAAAATCAAGAATCTTCCTACTCTTGGGATACTCCCGCCCCTATCCATTTTGGAGCAAGCACGGGTTGACATTTCCCTTGACTTTGTAGAAAGATTACCAAGCTCAAATAAGAAGGATATCATATTAGTAGTGTTGGATTGGCTGATCATATATGGTCATTTTCTTTTCCTTAGCCATCCTTATACAGCACTAGAGGTTGCTCGAGTATTCATGGAAAGAGTGTTTAAATTACATGGAATGTCGAGATCAATTGTGATTGATAGAGACCCAACTTTCACTGGATCATTCTGGAAGGAATTATCCAGGCTTCAATGAACTCAACTCAATATGAGTTAAACTTATCACCCTCAGTCAGATGGACAAACTAAGGTCCTAAAGCAGACCTTAGAAACCTATCTCAGATGTTTTTGTTGCATCCAACCACACACATGGTTCCATTTGTTACCTCTAGCTGAATGGTGGTATAACACCACTTTCCACTATGGCTACAAAAACTACTCCACTTCAAGCATTTTATGGATATTCACCTTCAACACTATTGTCTTATATCCCTAGCACCACCCATGTTCAATCTTTAGATGATGAATTGAAAGACATAGAGGTAGTGCTTAGGAACTTAAGAAGAATTTAAGCTTTGCTCAGCACATGATGAAGAGGATGGTGGACAAGAAAAGGATAGAAAGAAGATTTGAGGTGGGGGATTGAGTGTTCTTAAGGCTTCAACCTTATCGACAAACATCCCTGGTAGCCAGGAGGTGGAATACAAGTTAGAGTTACTAGAAGGATGCAAACTTCATCCTGTGTTCCTTGTTTCATGTATGAAGGCTAAATTGGGCAACCATGCCATAAGTAGCCCCACTCTTCCACCATTAACTCCAGAGGGAGTTCTTCAGCCTCATCCTATAGCAATTATGGACAGGCTTATGGTTCAAAGTGGGAATAGAGCAATCACTAAGCTTCTCATCAAATGGAAAGGAACTACAAATGCTGATGTGACATGGGAACAACTGGGCTCTCTCAACAAAAGTTTCCCTAGAGCTAGTCTTGAGGACAAGACTAATCCCAAGGGAGGAGGAATGATACAACTCAACTCTCTTGGGAAGGATGTAGTAGGTCGTTATGATACCCTTGTGTCCGCTCGTGCCTGATGCCAAGACGTTATAGCCTATTATAGGACCATAATTGAGAGAATATTCTATCATCATTGTAATGATTTGCAATCATTGATCATTATTCCCTATCTTAGTGATTATAAATAGCCATGATATCATTAATAAAAGGCTTTGAGTTTTATCTCTTATCAAATATTTTGTTTCCCTTATCCTTTCTTCTATGAGTAGTGCTACTAGGCACGATTGCTCGAGGCAAAATCAAACACTCTTCTCACCTTCGAGAAGATGCTGATACCATAGTCCCATAACCTTAACTGGTTTGTCCATTAGAACTTTGAAAATCAAGTTCCTCTACTGTGATTCACTAAGAATAGCATCATCCTCTATTGCTTCAATTGGATCATTTGATTTTGGGCTTAGTAGAATGGAGAGATCTCTAATGAGTTCTCCACCATGGTTGGGTCTTGCTTGGTTATCTAGGATACAAGGAAGGGACAGGAGACTATGGATTGGAGTAAGAGTTGGGTAGGGGAGAGAGTAAAGCCTACTTATAATAGGAGGAAAGCCTACCCATTGTAGGATGGAGTGTCTTTCCATACTTCTTTGTGACAATTTTGTCCTCAAGGCTTCGTTTGAAATGAGTGCAAATACAAATATACTTTGTTCATAAAAATGCAAATCTGTTTAATTTTTGCAATGATAATTTAGTATTCTTTCCAAATGATATTTAGTTGTGAAGTGTGTAAGCATGAATTATGAGACTAGAATCCACCTTTTTTATATTGACCAACTTTTAGTGTGAAAGTATAAATGTTTTGGATGGAGGCATTGCTCTCATTTTGAATGCAAACATGTTTTGAATTGGTGACTATTGTCACCATTAATACATAAAATGCGTTTTTATCAAATGGTTGTAAAATTTGACTAAAGCTCATTAATGTATCGAACTAGTATTACTGGGACCCAAGCATTGATCTACACATCAGCCACATGGGTTCGGCCCAGCCTTTGTTATAAGGCCTGACCGAATACACTATTGTGGATAGTGCACCCCCTGAAACCCATCACATGGGCTTCTATTGGGCCCAACACTTCCATTAAGTGGTTCCTGAGCCAAGCCACCTTATAAAAACCCAGGGATTGTGGCCAGATGCAAGATTAGCCTATCAGGCATTACCCTCAGTGGCCTTACACTTAACCTCTCAGCCCATAATGATCAAACACTGCTCGACAAGAGAGGACCTCTCCCTCGGCTGCAAGAAACAGTGTTGCACTCCCTACTTATATGGATCTCGGGAATTCAAACCTTTTGCAAATATTTTAGAAACCGTAATATATATACTTTTATATCTCATATAAAATAATTTTTTTTGCAAAACAAATCTCAATGATTGAAATCAATTGCCGGCAGTCTTGGTTTCCATTAGAGAGAGTGCATCCCCGATCATTACCTTTGTCCGACAAAGGGGCTGATCCTGTCACTATGATCACCCACTCAGATGAATTCTCAGACTGTCCCAACATACCCAGGTTTTGACCCCTGCTAAGGATCTCACTGATTGGCATATCAAAGACAGCCCAATCCGACACCTAGTACAGTATCATAATCGAATCTAGGGGTCAGGTGTAACTTTCCAGTTTTGCCCATTAATCTCCAAGGTCCAAGGCAATACTGGAAATCTAGTCCGGTTCAAAGATTTAATTAATCCTACATTGCATGTGCCTTGGGTCTCACCCTGGCGGCTGAGACAGGTCACCCCAACCGACTTAGTAGCACATTAGTGTCAGCCTTATCAGGATAGGTCTCCCCAGATCGACCCACCGGCTGTGAACATTCTAAACTAACACGAGTGTCATTAAGTGTTCAGTTTAAGGGTAGAATACAGAAACAAACCACAAGAATATGAATCAAATATGTACTTTATTCATTTACAATAAACGTCAAAAGTACATCATTCTGATTGGAGCTAAGGCATACAAAGACTGTCTAATAGCTCCCACTTGCACTTAGGTCCAATCTGGTACAAGTCGGAGTCACATGTTTTCCCTGTGTTTCTCAAACACTTTTTGTGATAATGGCTTCGTCAATGGGTCTGCTATATTTTTCGCTGATGCTACCTTCTGAATCAGGACATCCCCTCTACCAACAATCTCCCGCAGTACGTGGTACTTCCTCTCGATGTGTTTTGACTTCGAGTGGGCTCATGGCTCCTTAGCCTGAGCAATTGCTCCATTGTTGTCACCTTTAATGGAAAATTTAATATTAAGTATTGCACTAGATATTTTGCTTACCAAAGAACTAAAATAGTGAGAAAGAAAATACATTGAATGATCAATAATAATATTGTTGATTTTGATGAATGATTAATAATAATATTGTTGATTTTGATTAACATATTTGTACTTGGAAAATTAGGAGAGGCTTTAAAACTTAAAATTAGGTCACAGGGTGCACACACTAACTTCATCAAGTGGCTGTTTGATCATAGCCAAATGACTTATTGAAATAAATAAATATAAAATATAGTTATACTCAATTTTGCCATAAAAACTCATAACCTCCTTTTTCATTATTTTTTAACTAAAAGAGAAAGTAATAAATCATCTAGTTCAGCCATTTCCATTTTTATCTAATTATTATTATAATGGAAAGATAGTGGGTTTCTATACCCCTTTTATCTTATGTGTGTTTTGAGCTAGCTTTTTTGAGGTGGGCTGTTTCTTAGGGTCTGTTTGGTTTGTGGAAATAAGGGTTCAGAGTCGGAGTCAGAATGGTTCATTCTGTTATTTTGATTCCAATTGTTTGGTTGGGCTGAACCAAAATCCCATTCTCATTCCCAATAAGCATTCTCTCCCCCTCCCCTGGGAATGAGAACCCATTTCAGCCAATTCTGATTTTGACTAAGATTGCAGTTTGAACTTTGAATCAATAATGAGGGGAATAAACCATTCCAATTCCAATTCGAATTCTGACTGAACCAAATAGACCCTTAATGATGATTGGGCCCAAAGAAAACTCACGGGCTCAGCCCTAGCTTAGCCTAGGCCTATGCAAGCCAGGGCTGAGTTAAGCCCGATTTTATGCCATATCTTTTATGCATAAAATTTTACATATATATATATGTAATTTTATATTATATGGTATGTATACAATATTTATACGAAAAGGTGTTATTTATAATACAACCATAAAATAACATAATATTATCTTAGTATATATTTACAGATTACAGATATGTACTGCCCGGGCCTGAACTCAAATCTAGGCCAAGCACGGACTTTTCCGGGTCGGGCTGAAAATGATCACTCGGTGCTAGCCCCAGCCCGGATATGAGATGAGAAGAAAGACACGGCTTGATTTATTGGTTAGTTTGGTAAAATCACTGGAAAGTGAGTGGGATTTTGTAAATTTACCCTCCTCTAAATTCTAAAACCCTCGAAGGTTCCTTTTCGTAATACAGTCGTCGGTTCAAAACTCCCTCGCCCATTTTCTCTTTCCCTCTCCCTCTGTTCCTCCTCTTATCTTTCTATCCGTTTTTGATATCTTTAATTCTTCATATATTGGTACAAACACCCTAAAACAAATTTTCACAGTTCGTTGGGTTTCTTTTTTCTAAAGGTAGCGGATTCACTTTTTTGTTCGATCGGTGTTTGTTTAGTCTTTTAAATAATCAACTTATTTGTTCAGTAAGAATCTAGGGTTCTGTTGTTTTGAATTTCGAAATTCTGAGAAATCCATGCCGCATCTTGTCTAAATTTATTGTTTTGGCTGAACAGTTTCGTGTTCTAACCACTGAGTTTGATGACAGAAGAAATTGAGGAAGATTAATTTGCTTTTGTTGCCTTAAAGCTATTGACTGTTCTCTTGTTTTGGATGCTTGGAACAGGTCCGGAGCTATGGGGTCATCGGCAGCGGAGAGTGTTCATCCAATGCAGGTATTTGTGGGATAATTTGTGTAGTTGAATGGCGCGATCGGACTTTTGCTTGGCTTTTTTATGTGGTTCGGTTGAAATTTTTTGTTATAGGAGTAAACGAGTTTTTTCCCCACTTTTTAGTGGACTAAACAAGTTGAGAGACAGAGCTATGAAACTTGTGAGCATTTTTTAGGAGGTTCTTTTAAATGTCATTAATTATTATTATAGAATTCACTGAAGGAATTTGTATGTTTATCATTTTATGCTAGTTTCTCTTTCTATTTGTAACATTGAATGATGCGAGGCATAACATGGTGCGGTTCAGTGGGATTTAGTAGTTCTTTGGCAGAAATGGATACAGTTTAAGAGTCAAATACTATGTTATGTACAAACAAAGGAAGGAGCTTTGGGAGGAATTGGGAGATATTAGGGATCTGTGGGAGGGGCTGTGGTGTGTGGGAGGGGATTTCAATGTGATAAGGTTCATTGAAGAGAGCAATAAGGTGAGACAAAGGAGCACTACAAGCATGAGGAAGTTCAATGAGTTCATTAATGCTTTTGAGTTAAAGGAATTGAACCTTTCTCATAATAGCTTCACTTGGTCTAATCTCCAAGCTGAACCTATCTGCTCTAAATTAGATAGATTCTTGTTCACCACAGACTAGGAGGAGCATTGGGGAGATCTGGTGTCAAGGGCTCTACCCAGAGTTACTTCTGATCATTGGCCAATAATGATTGTTAAGTCTAATATTGGTGGTAGTGGGTCCTCTCCCTTCAGGTTTGAAAATATGTGGCTACTTCACCCGGACTTCAAAGACAAAGTGAAAACTTGGTGGAATGAAAGTAACTCGAAAGTCAATTGGGAAGGGATGAAATTCCATTGGAAGCTGAAAGAGCTCAAGGTCAAATCTAAGGAATGGAATTCTCTCCCCATTGGTAGGCTAGAAGAGAAAAGCAACAGTAGATAAGTAAAATAGAGGAGTTAGGTGCTAAGGAAGAAAGAGGATGTTTTGGGGACCGAGATAAAGAAATGAGGTGGGAGTTAAAGAAGAGCCTGGAGGACATAATCTTCAAAGAAGAAGTWRGTTGGAGACARAAATCTAGACACAAATGGGTGAAGGAAGGAGATAGAAATACAAATTTTTTCCATGCAATAGCCAATGGTAGAAGAAAGAAGAACATCATATCTAAGTTGGTTGTTGATGGGACAGTTTTAGCACAACAACAAGGGACTGCCGGGTTTTTTGTGGAACACTTTAAATCCATCTTTAGAAAGCCTTTACAAAAGAGATTAAGGATTGAAGGGTTGGATTGGCCTAAGCTCCCTAATGAGTTGATATTGTGGTTGGAAAGAGAGTTTGACTTGGAAGAAATCAGAGAAGCCATTTTCTCTATGAATAGATCCAAAGCCCCGGGCCCTGATGGATTCATGATGGCCTTTTATCAAGATTGTTGGGAGATAATTAAGGTTGACATTCAAGCAGTGTTCTTGGAATTCTTTGAAAGAGGTGTGATAAACCCATGCCTAAATTCTACTTTTATTGCTTTAATACCGAAGAAGGTTGGGGCTTCTCATCCTAAAGAGTTCAGACCCATCAGTTTGGTTAACAACCTCTACAAGATCATTGCTAAGGTGTTATTCAGAAGAATTAGAGAGGTGCTCTACTCGATCATCTCCCATAACCAAGGTGCCTTCGTGATGAATAGACAAATTGTGGACCAAATCTTAATTGCAAATGAGAGTGTGGAAGCCTACAGAAGTAGAGGTGAGAAAGGGCTAGTGTGTAAGTTGGACTTGGAGAAGGCATATGATCTGGTTGATTGGTCTTTGTTGTTGGAAGTGCTAGAGTCTTGTGGTTTTGGGAAAAGGTGGTGCAAGTGGATTAAAGGGTGCATTAAGACTTGCCATTGTTTTGTGTTAGTAAATGGCAAGGTGGTGGATCACTTTCCAGCTGTGCGGGGTATTAGGCAAGGGGGCTTTCTCTCCCTTTTCTCTTTACCCTAATTGCTGAAGTGCTAGGGAGGCTTATTGAGAGGGCATACTCCAGAAATCTGATAAATGGTTGGAGAGTGGGGAGGGATAGCGTTCCGGTCACTCACCTATAATTTGCAGATGACACAATTCTGTTTTGTGATGGAGAGGAGATTAGCTGGGTGTGCAATATGAAGATGGCGATTAGGGTGTTTGAACAAATGACTAACCTTAGGGTAAATCTGGGTAAGAGTTGTGTGATTGGTATTAATATGAGTGAGGGAGAGGTGGAGGAAAGGGCTCGAGTGTTAGGATGTGAGATAGCTCATTGGCTACTGAAGTACTTAGGGCTTCCTTTGGGAGACAATCCCCGAAAAAGGAGCTTTTGGAATCCGGTGATTGATAGGTTTACTAAAAGGCTAGCTTCTTGGAAGAATAACTACTTGTCTCTAGGGGGCAGGATAACACTGATTAAGTCAACTTTGCCAAACCTTCTAGTATATTTCTTGTTGGTGTTCAGAATCCCAGAAGGAGTTTGTAGGGAGTTGGAAAAATTAACGAGGGACTTTTTATGGGAACTTGGGGAGGAGAAAAAGGACCATAGAGTTAGGTGGGATCTAGTTACAAGACCTAAAAGTGAAGGGGGACCGGGGCTAGGAAATCTGCGAAAGAAGAATGAAGCTGTTTTAGGGAAATGGTTATGGAGATGGTCCAAAGAAAAAGAAAATTTGTGGGCTAAAATAATCCTAAGTATTCATGGGCAAGAGGCAGATGGGTAGGATCCGGGACTATCATCTAGGGCTTCAAGAGCCTCCCCTTGGAAGTCGATTTATGCTGTCATGCAGTCTTTTCTTCCATTTATCAAGTACGATCTTAGTTCTGGTTTGTCTGTACTTTTCTGGGAACACACTTGGGTGGGGGATTTTCCCTTGAAAGAGCAATTTCCCTCTTTGTTTGCTCTGTCTAGGTTTAAAAATGAACCAGTAACAACATTTGCTAACTTGTCTAATTCCACTACTGGTTGGAACTTGGGTCTCAGAAGAGCTCTCAGAGATTTTGAGTTGGAACCCATTTCGAATCTGCTTAAAATCTTGGATGAGGTAGTCCTTGAACCTTCCATTGTGGACTCCAGGGTGTGGTCTCTTGTTCCCTTGGGTATCTTCTCCTTCTCCTCCTCCTTCAAAGCATTGACACGGTCTAGTCCGGTACCTGGGCCTCCTTTTCCAGTTCGGGAAGTTTGGGGTAGCCCCATCCCCCCTAGGGTAGGTGCTTTTTGTTGGGAAGCAATCCTAGAAAAGTGTAACACTTGTGACCTACTTCAAAAGAAAAGGCCTAATTGGTGTTTATCCCCACACTGTTGCATCTTATGTAAGAAGAATGGTGAAAGCTGCTATCACTTGCTTGTCTCTTGCCCTTTTGTTTCAGATAGTTGGTGTTGGTTCTTTTCTTTATTTGGTTGCAGGTGGCCCTCCCCTTCAAGTGTGCAAAGATTGTTTAGCTCCACTCCAGTGAGGGGTCTAAAAAAGAGAGGTAAAATTTTGTGGAATGCGCTAGAGCTGCTGTTTGCTGGACGGTCTGGAAAGAAAGAAATCAATGATTATTTCATGAAAAAGAGAAAAGCAGGGAAGCCCTCATAGAACTTGTATATGTCAGGGTGGCTCATTGGGTCAAGTCTTTGAAGCTTTTTGAAGTTTATTCAGTAGGAGACATCATTAGAAACTGGGAAGAAGTGGCTCGGTCAGCTCCTATGTCTATTGATGTCAGACCTATTTGAACTCCACTTGGGTTTCATCAAATTGAACTTCGATGGTAGTAGTGAAGGAAATTTAGGCCCTTCAGGCATATGTGGTTTTTTCAGGAATGAAGAAGGGCGAATTATTGCTATGTTCTTAGGACCTATAGGCTGGGGGGATTCTCTGAGAGCTGAAATCCTAGCAGTTGTAGGAGTCAAAAGGGCTAAGCAGTTGAATATTAGCAAGTTGTTGGTGGAAGGTGACTCCCAATTGACTATTAGATGGTTGTAGGTGGAAGAGTCCAGCATGTGGAAGTTCTCAAATGAAAGAAAGAAAATCAAGCAACTAACTCAGAACATGACTATAAGGTTTCAATGGGGTAAGAGGAGTACCAACTCCACTCCTTGGCTAAACAGGGGGTGGGAAGATCTAATTTGTTTTGGGCTATTCTGTAATATGTTTTTTCGGGTTTGAAAGGGAAGGTTAAGACATTTTACCCCTCCTTTTTGGGTGTATCTTACTTATCTCTTTTAATAAAAGTGCTGTTATTGATAAAAAAATACTACGTTATGCAGCTTTCCTAATCAAAATCTTATTGTTAGGGGAGGTGGGTTGTTTGCTGGTTAGAGATATAGGAATGAAATGCTAGGAAAGTGGTTCTTCTGTTTCTTGATGGCCTTCCATATGTAGCTATACCTGTTGAGCTGGGTCTCGTTGCTGTCAGTTTGTCAGCAGAAGTCCAACCTCACTCAGGGAAGGCTTGTGCTAAGGTATAATGTTTACACATTGATCAATTATTATTACTATTACTATACTACAACTATTAATTGAGATGAATGAATAACTAAAGTTATTCTCAAGGAATTGGGATATAAAGTGCTATTTGGGTTCTAACTTTTGATATAAGATGTTGTTAAATGTTGTACTGAATGTGGACCAAGATTGTAATACAAGGTTAGGAGGAGAACATAGTTTTCAAGGCGCCAAGGCAAGGCTAGGCGACCGGGGGGTGCCTTGTCACCTAGGCGGGCACTTAGGCGTTGCCTAGGTGATGGATTTTTTTATGTAGAAAACATAGATCCAAGGGTAGTTCCCTAGGTACCATAACCATATTTAATAATTATTCATAGTTTTCATAAGAATGGTATAGAGTTAATGTTAAAGTATAGAAAATCAGCATATTAATGAGAAGAAAAAGAAGGAAAAGAAAAATAAAAAATATAGGGACTGAACCCTTTTATTAGCAATGTTTGTATTGATTAAACCCTAACAAATAAGGAAATAATAAAAAGAAATTAGTATATAGACATAAATGA